GGAGAAGGAGGCTGAGAGGGGATGAGCTGACAGTGTCCACCCAGCAGGGACAGAGGCTCCCAACCCAGGGTGCCTTAGACTCACCCACAGAGCCTTCACAATGTCCCCAGGCCTGCCCCTCTCTAGAGAGCCCAGTGCGGTTGGTGTCAGGAAGAAATCAGGTTTTGAAAGCTCCCCGGAGAGCCCGGGAACCCCGTGCAGGTAGTGTGGAGAGCAGAGTGGGACGTGGCCTCGTGTGGGCAGGTGTCCCTGCGGGCGTGGCCAGCTCCCTTGGGCACGTGGTCTCTCTCAATCCTCATGAATGAAGTGAGACAGTGTGTGCACCAGGCACGCTGTCACCTGCCTGGTCGCCCACAGGCACGGGTTCATTTTCAGACACAGACAGTCAAGGCAGGGAAGGGATTCTTTCCTCCCATGTCCCCTGGCTAGTGGCAGTCACTTGGTTTTCTCATGGCTCTTCGGGCTTCCTGAGTGGTCCCAAACGGGAGATAGGCAGGCTGGTGTGTCGGAGTCCACAGCCTGAAGCAGAGTGGTGCTCGGCACAGACTCATCAGGAAGGGCTGCGCGGCTGCTGCAAGGCCTCACTGATGCCCACGCAGGTCTTTTTCCCAGATCCTTTCCCTCCTCCGCAGCCTGAATGGATCACCAGTGGGGCCATTCGATGGAGAGGCCGGGCCCGGCAGGGTGGTCCTCTCTCAGCGTGTGACGTGGCAGGGGGCCTGCAGTTTCACGACCCGCATCTCTGGGCAGGGGTGGATGGCAGAGGGGCTGGGGCCAGCCTGGAGGCGGCTTTAATGAGACCCTTCCACCCCAGGGCGCTGCCCAGGGCCACAGCCGACCCCTGTTAGTGACGCACACAACACGCAAGGGGAGGGGTTTTAATCAGCCCGAGAGTTCCCTGGAAATGTCGTCCTCTCCTAGAGTCCCACACCTTGCAGAAAGTGACAAGGGCAGGACAACCAAGTCGCAGGAGGGTCAGAAGGGAGGCAGGTGTGGCAGGGACCCGGAGCGGGCAGCAGCTGGAGAAGCAGCCCGGGGTCCCTGTTTGTCACTGCGGTCCTAGCCTCGGGTTCCCCTACAGTGGAGGGTAAGTCACGCTCTCCCCAAGGTCAGTGCCACCAAGCCCTACCTGGGAGCCCTTCCTCTGCCCTTTCCAGGGGGCCGTGCCCAGGCACCTGCCACCCACAGGGAACCCTGAGCAGGGGGGCTCTCCAGGGCTCTGATGCTCCTGTTCCTGCTTCTTTTTTTTTTGGTACCAGGGATCGAACTTGGGTCCTTGCAGTTGCACAATAGTTGGAGAAACCACTGAGCTAAATCCCCGGCCCTGTTCCTGCTTCTTCCTTCCCTGTCTCACTGCCCTGCTTCCTGCCTGGCCTTGGGCTCCCTGGGGCCACCTCCAAGGCCCTCTGGACCCCCCATTCCTGTCTCAGGAATGGCACCCAGGCCAAGAGGGCCAGATAGGAGCAGGTACAGAGGAGTGTGCCTGACCCCTAATTCCTATGTCAACACTGGAGAGGAAGCTGGGTGACATCAACTTGTCAGGCAAGAAACCGGGACAGGAAGGGTGATGTGACCCAGCCCCATCTCACCCTGAGCAGGCAGCATGGCCTGGTGGTCACTAGCAGGACCTGGTTCAGGGATGCGTGGGTGGGGCTGGGACAGTGCCCATGGGGAGGGACTTGGCAGACCTGCAAGTCCATGGGGAGCAGGGACCCCGAGGTGTGGTGAAGCGTGGCTGATGGCCTCCCGCAAGTGAGATGCCCAGAAGCTGGGTGGGGCGCCTCCCAGAATTGTCCTGATGGACCCCAGGACCAGGAGGGGTGTGTCTGAGGGACCCTTGGCCAGCTCAGCCAGAGTCCCTCCTGCGGTCACCTCCCACAAGCTGCTGAGCCGGGTGATGAGGTTTCCCTCCCTCATGGCTCCAGCCCTCATTACTGCAGCCCTGGGATTAATTTAATTACATGCTCTTCGCCAGGCAGCGGGGAGCCGCCTGGTGAGGTCACAGGTTTCGAGGCCGCTGGGAAGGGTGGTCCTCAGGGAGCCAGGCACTTTGGGGGTCCACTGCCCCCCGGGAGGGTCCCCTCACTGACGGTATTCCTCGCTGCTCCTGACTGAGGGGGACAATGTGTCTGGCCACCTGGTTTCTGCTTGTGAAGAGCTGGGTTTGGGGAGCTAGACAGGGACAGGGTCGGATGTGAAGGCTGCAGAGCTTTAGTGGCCACCATGCAGGAGGCAGGAAAGGGGCAGGCACTGTAGTTTAATCCATTGTCACAGTTTATAGAAGAAAGAAAGAGGTTACTTGGGAAGGACAAAAAATGACGGGAATAAATGCAAAAGTCACTTCTTCCCTCATCTGAGCAGTAGTATTTCCATGTACATTCTTCCTAAATTTATTTCACTGCGTGGATATTTTTAAATGTAGCAGCCGCTTTGCATGTCATTTTGTGTCCAGTCCTTCCCGCTGGCATTTTGAGTGTTCCTCTGTATTGTTTAGGACAGAAACGCTTTCTAAATGTCATTTTAATGATGACAGGGTGGAACTCGCAGCGATTGTGGGACAAATTATTATTTCCAGTTTTGGCCTTTGTGACTCTGCCTGCAGTCTGCAGAATCAGAATCAGCTTTTGGGGGTGTAGATTGCTCTGGGATTACTGCATGGATGGAAATATGTGTAAGACTGTTATTTATTTATTTATTTATTTTGCAATAAAAACCCTAGTGGCCTGATGTATATCTTGTTCCCTGCAGCGGTGGGAGGAGGTCAGGGTGACCCCGAGCAGATGGTTTAGGGGAGGCAGTGCCCTGGTCTGGCCGCAGCCCCCTCTGGTCTGTGCTCACCTGGGCCTGGAGGTGGGGATGGCTATAGGTCACATCTCTGGCCCTGAGGCCTGGTGCTGGCCGTGGGTGCCGGGTGCTGGGTGACTTGCGGATAGCCCATCTGTCCCTTTTCTTGGGGTGTATGTGTCACACGGGGCAGCAGGACCCGACCCCCCACCCCCTGTCCTGAGGGAGATCCCCTGTGGTCAGGTAGATGCTGGGGGTCTTTGGAGTGTGCCTGGTCCGCTGCTGCCCGGGGAGCCTTTGTGGACAGGATGTAGGATATGAAGCTCTGGGGTTCCCAGGCTGCACACCGTTTCCCTCCCGAGGTTGGAGGGGCCCAGTGCACCCTGACCACTCAGGCCCCGCCAGGCCTGTGTGGGGTGAATATGGCAGCCTTGTTAGCACTGACGGACTGGGAGTAAACTGGGGCTGTTTACAGCTGTGGCCACAGGGTGATCCAGGGTCCCACTGGACAGGCCACAGGTCACCTCATCTCCCCACTTCCCGAAAATCAGCCAGGGTCACGTTACCTCACCTCCAGGGACCCTGCTTCCTTAGCTCTGTGGAGCTGGGTGTGGGGCATGGTGACACTGGAGCCCCTGCAAGGCCCCCGCCCGAGCTGCCGGGTGCCAGGTGCAGTTGTCATCCGAGTGGAGTGGGTCGGGCCTTGCCCCTGAGCTGCTCTCCTCTCCCCTCAGAGCCTCTACATTCCTGAGAGGTGACTGGGAAGGGAGGAGGAGGGAGAGTGGCTTGCAGCTCCTGGGTGAGGAGTGGCTGGGCTGGGCCGCACACCCTGCTTCCTGCCAGGGCTGGATGGATTTCCCACTGGGGCCTGTGGACTGGGCTGAGTGGTGGAGACTCCTGAGGGTCCCCCATGTGTGCTTGGGGGAGAGGTGACCCACAGCAGCAGGCCAAGGGTGCAGGAAATGGGCAGCCAGGTGGACAGGGACCTCTGAGGTCCCGTCCAGACCCCAGCATGGGAAAGTGCCCAGACTTTTGCAGTGACTTGTCTCGCTGACCTCCACATCTGCCCCAGGTTGAAGCCTGAGGCTGGGAGAGGTGGGCAGGGTGTCCATGTTTCACCTCGAGGACATCCAGGGGCAGGGCTCATCTGGGGTCATGCTGGCTCCTGCTTCTTGCTTTCTACAGTTGGCACGGTGATCCTGGCTTACCCCCAGTAGCACCCAAGCCTCCTGCCCACCCAGGAATGGTAGAAGCCCAAGAAGTCTGTTCCCCAGCCCCCAGTGCCCTGAGGTGACAGTTGGCTCTCAGAGGCGCTGATGTCTGAGGCCGGGGTGGTGGTGACATGAACCCAGGAAGACCCCGCTTCCTGTTGAGGCTGCATATGGCAGGCCGAGGTGAGCAGCAGTGAGGTAGATGGGGTCCCAGCTGGCACCTGGGCCTTGTGACTCCTGGCAAGAGGTGCAGTAGTTCATCCTCAGGTGACTGCGTGCCACCCAATGAGGTGCCCATGCCACCTGGCTCCCGGGGTGCTTGGGACAGGGCCCCTAACTGCCCTGCCCTGCCCCACTTGTCCCTTCCCTGCCTGAGTTCTGTCCCTCATCCCCTCAGCAGGCTCTCTGCGCACTGCCTGGGCTGGAGGTCATTGCTCTGTCCTGGGGGGAGCAGGGCTGTGGGGTGGGCTAGTGTGGGGACGGGCGGGGGGCAGGTTTCACCTGCTCTTCTGATATAACCAGAAGTAGGGTCTGTGGTGTGCACCTCCACCTTCCGAGGTATCTGTCCGGCCTCCCTGCCCTCGATCAGAAGCAGGTGATTTGCTGGGGCGTGGTCCCTGCACCTGGCTCCTGGCTGCTCTCAGCCCCAGCCCTGGAGTTGTTGGTGAGGAGGTTCATGGGGTGTGATCAGCTCACCTGAGAACAGGGCAGGTGGAAGTGAGAACCCCAGCCAGGTGCTGCTTTGGCAGCTTGGGCCTCACTTTCCCCACTGAATAGCAGAGTGGCTCGGGGGCTCTGGGCCTGGGGTGGGCTGCCCCTGGCTGTGGGTGTCTATCAGACTCTTCAGCCTGCAGCACTGCAAGTGGGAGGAGTCACCCCAGGACAGGTGGATGAAGGGTCCCCCAGGCAGCTTCCTGCAGCTTGGAGGCCCCAGCACGGGTGGGTTCTGCCTGGGGACAAGTCTGCTGGTGGCTAATGTGTCCCCTGCTTCCTCTGTCCTTACAGATCCCTCGTGCACCTACACCAGGCAGCTGGAGACCAAGGTGAAGCTGCTGGAGGGTGACAAGCTCCTCCCACAGGTAGGGGGCCTGCAGGGGGCACCACACTGAAGTGCCCGTCCATCCCCACCCTTCCCAAGGGTCCCTTTGCCTTGTGCCTGTGGCCTCCGCCCTGCCCCCACTGCTGCTTGAGCGCCTCCTGGGAGCAGGGTCACGGCCTGATCCTTGCTGTAATCCAGGCTCCCCCAGCGGCCTGCAGGTCTGTGGAGCTGGCCCTGGGCCCAGGTGGAGCAGGGACAGAACTGGGGAAGAGCTGGGTGGGCAAACTGAGGCAGGAGTGGCAGGCAGACTCATCAGAACCTCCTCCCCTGCCGTGCCAGACTGGCTGGCCAATTCCTCTCTGGGGTGGGGTCTGCCTCCCACCTGGGCCTGGCCCCGCACCCCAGACAGCTGAACCATGGGGTTTGGGGCTCACTCAAGGGGCAGAGCAGGGTGTCTGGTTGAGGGCACTGGGCCTTCTGCAGAGTGTGGCTGAACTTGGTGGGGACAAGGAGCCTTCCCTGGTGCAGGTGGGGACAGGTGAGGGGCTGTGCTCAGCCCCATTTGGGGTATCTGGGGCCAGCTGGCTTGGCTGATCCCTCCAACCTCTGTCCCCCTGTCCCCACCCCTGGCTTAATCTCAGCCTCCCCTCCCTTGCTGGGCCCTAAGTGGCTGCTCCGGATGCCCAAAGCGTTTCTCTGGGAACCAGCCCCAGGGATAGCTCAGATGCCTGGCCCTGTTGCTGGGTGACCAGCTGGGCTTGGTGCCCGCTGCCTGCCTCAGGAAGCCGGCAGCACCCTCTGGCTGCCGGTGGCTGCAGCGAGGCCCATGGCCTTGAGCAAGGAGCCCTGCCCCGCCCCCTCACCCCCATGAGCACCCCAAGTGCGCAAGGACAGAGCAGGCCCTGAGTCCCTGGGGTTCTAGTTCAGTGTGGGTTGAAGGTGCTGGAAGGTGGGTGGGCCTTGCCTGCAGTATGCCGACTCCCAGGGCTGGGCCTCACCTGCTGTGAGTGGGCTCCCGACCCACACCCTGTGCAGCTTGATCTGGACGTGGTCGCTGGGGGGGTGGTACAGGGGTGCAGGCAAAAGCACAACCAGGAGTACTGGGGGACAGAGGGGCAGCATCCAGACTTGGGAACCTCTGCTGAGGAGCAGGATTCTGTCTGGGGAGTTGGGCCCCTGGTCTGGAGGGAAGGGGACCATGTCCTGGGGCCTGCACATCTGCCCAAGTCCGGCCCTTGCCTGTTCCTGAGCCCATGTTCGGGATGCTCTTTGTACATGACAAGTAGCACCATGGCCCCGTCAGGGACCCCCTGGAGGCCCTGTTTCCACAGGGATGGGAGTGTCCTTTGGCCTCTTTGTCATTGCCCTCCCGGCCCCTCTGAGAACCTACACCCCAGCTCCAAGTGTTAGGGTTAACGTGGGTGCTCAGGTCTTCCTGTGCCAAGACGGGAGGTGCCAGACGGAAGCAGAAGTTGGCATGTGTGTGTCTGTGGGCCGTGGGAAGGGTACCCAGGTGCTTCCGTTTCTTCCTTGGCGTGGACTCTGCCCAGGGCGGCTTCTTGGCCAGCATCTGCCACCAAGCCAATGTCTGGGCCACTCCCAGCGTCCTGAGACGGAGCAGCCTGTGGTGCTGGGCCTCAGCCTGGCAAGCCTTCCTGCTCTGTCCAGGGAGCTGTGGCATCCACAGGGCGGGTGAGCGTGCAGGGTCACAGCTGAGGCTCCAAGAGGGCAGCGTCCAGGGCCCATGGGAGCTGCTGCTTGGAGGAGAAAGATGAGAGCAGACCAGGAGGGTCCAAGCAGTGCCTCCCTCGCCCGGCTTTGGATTCGTGGGTGGCTCCTGCAGCATCAGCTTTATGAGGACCCCATAGCCATTTCTCTAGGCCTCTGTTTCCTGACCTGTAAAATGGGCACTCAGTTACATTGCACACGACATTTCCTGTGTTCAAGGGCCTGGGGATGCTGGGGTGTCCAGGAGGGCCTGCCTTCGGGGACTCGAAGCCCTGCCTTACCCTAGGGACTCCAGAGAGACCCATGTGGCCACTCTCTAAGGGGCACCAGGAAGGTGGGGCCTCAGCCCCTGGCAGTGTTCCCGACCCTCATTCTTGCTCAGAATGAGCTTCGTCGGGTATCGAGGGCGCTGTCTCCCGAGGTATCCTTGCATGGGTAGATGACCATGTTTGGGAATCTTGTAGAAAGAACTGTGGCCACAGAGGGATGCTGTCCTCAGCCTCTTGGCATGTAAGATTTTATCATTCTGGCAAATTTCATCAGTGAAATCAAATTGTGCAGAAAGCCCCAGCTCCATACAGAGCAGGGAACCCAGCCGTAGTGCAAAGCAGGACCCAGGAGCAGCTCTGTGCAACATCCTAAGGGGCTTCAGCCTTGGCCTTGGGCTGGGAGGCCAGCGAGCCTGGCCCCCATGGCCTCTCTTTAACCCTAGAGTAGCTGTGATTAAAAATGTGCCAGAGTGTTCACAGGCTAAATGACTATGGCAGTTCCTATATTCTTTCTCAAGTTGGCTTTAAAATTTCACCAACACAGCTGCTTCCTTCTCGATGATTCATCTGAAAGCTCCTCACACGTTATTATTTTTCCTGCGGATTCTCCGCGCCCAGCCACCCGGGGTGGGGGTGGCTGTCCCTGACGCTAGGGGCCGGGGTGGACCCTGCTGGGCTGATCGGCTCCACAGAAAAGGGGCCCTTGTGCAGGCTGGTAACTGGGAGGACCCAGCTCCCTCCTCCTCTGTGCTCCTGCGCCATCCTCTCTCCTGTCCTGCAGGTACCGTGGGGCCAGTGGAAGTGGCCTGGTATTTATACCAGGCGCAGGTGGGGAAACCGAGTCACAGGCAGGTGGGCTTCCCAGCACACATGGCCCATTGGTATGCCCTGGCTGCTGTAACTGGGTTCCCCAACGACAGGCTCTGATGACCACAGCCTCCTGTCCCGTGGGTGGGAAGCTGAAGCGCAAGGGCAAGCTGCAGCCTGTTGGTTTCCCCTGCGGCCTCTCTCCCTGACCCCTCCGTGTGTCCTTACGTCCTCTTCTTCCTTCTAGTTTCTCTTTTTCCCAAGGACACAGTCCCAGTCACAGATGGCCCAGCCTAACCACCTCACCTTGCCTTGTCACCTCTTTAAAGACCCCCGTCTCCCTCCAAACATGTCACCTGCTGGGGTCCCAGGGCTTGGGACTTCAGGGTATAGATTTGGGGGTACAGCTGAGGCTCCAGCGGGGCGGCGTGGGCCTGATGGTGAGGGGAAGTGGGTCTGGACACCCGACGACTCCGGTCCAAACAAGCCAAATGCTCCTGGGTAGCACCGCCTGCCCCCCCACCCTCACCGGGTCCCAGGGACCGCAGGGGCTGGCAACTGTGCTCTGGGCCTATCCTGCCCCTGGGCCACTGCACTGAGTCCCTGGGCAGAGGACTGGGGACTGCTGAGCCCTCGCACGGTCCCCAAGGAGGGTGGGCCGTGGTTCCTCCTGAGGTGCTGCTCTCACGGGACTTTTATGGCTGTGTCGTCTGCCTCTTCACCAGCGAGGGCGCCTGTTCCGCCTGTGGCGTCTGGGCTTGGCTGCCCTGCCCACCTCGTCTTCCTGGGCAGCATGGTCTGCGGGCTCGGCGGGGCTCAAGTGTTTTCTTCACAGGAGCCCTAGAGTCTGTTTCGCCCTGCCGAGAATCTCCTCTTCCCAGCCTCCGAGCAGATGGGCTCTCCAGCTCGTGGGCAGGATGATCGACTGGCAGCGCCACCCTGTGCCCTAGCACTGGAGGCTCAAGGGACCTCTACGGGGAGGCAGGTGCTGGACAGGACTGGCTCGTGCCGCCTGCCAGCTGGGTGGCTTTGGGCAACTGGCTGAACCTCTCTGGGGCTCCATTCTTCCATCTGTAAAGCAGGGCTGACGATGGCCCTGCCGGGTTTGCCATTCAGAGGGTTCCAGGGGATTGGGAAAGCCCTGGGACCTGGGGCCCACTGGCTGTGAGGCCTGCAGTCAGCTGTTGTGGTCTCACCTGTGTGTGAGCCGTCCTCAGGCTCCTTTCTGACTCCATCCACATGCAGGCTCTGCTGGGTCCGGCTCCTGGGGCTCTGCGTTTTGCACTTCTGCGCCCTGCCCTCAGGAGGACTGCTTTTCCCTGGAGGCATGCTGGAGCCCTTGAGCTTTGGGGTGGGCAGAGAGGGGTGGGCACCCCAGGGACCTGGTGGTAGAGGGCACTCGGCTTGTCCTTGTTGAATCTGGGTTTTTAAAGACACAGAGCTGCCACTCGTGGTCTTGGAGACCCCCTGTCCTGGCCCTCCGGCCCCCATGGGTTGTAGGTGTCCTGGTGCTGCTGGGTGACGCTGTTCTCTCTCCTTCCAGCTGCCCTGCGCCTATGGCCGCCCGAGAAGCTGGCTGCAGGTAGAGCTATGGTGGGAGGGGCCTGGTGCATCCCAGTCCCCAGAGCCCCTGGGGCCACAGGTCCTCACCTTAGATGCTCTAGGGACCAGGCCCCTCTGGGCAGAGCTGGCATTAAGTCCTGCAGGGACTGCCAGGCACCTGGCCTCCCGAGGGACACCCCAGCCTGGGCAGTCAGCCGGGCTGGTGGAAATGCACGCTCTGCTGCAGGAAATGCAGTACGGGGTAGGCGGCCAGAGGTCCTGGGCCAGGGTCTCCAGGGCTGTGGAGCAGGCTGGGCACAGGGCAGGGCTTCTGCTCAGGCTGCAGCCCTGAGGGCCTGCCCTGCTGCCTGAGCCCAGGAAGGCAGGGCCAGCTCACCCAGCTCTGAGATCCAGTGAGACACGGCACGGCCCCTTTGGGACGCTCCTTCAGCCATCAGGATGCTCTTCCAGTGGCGTTTTCTTTGTCCCCTTCTCCCAGTCCTGAGGTTGCCCATCCCAGGGTACCGGCCTTTGCTGCACCCTCCTGGGGGTTTCCACCAGCCCAGGCTGGGGCCAGGTGGGGATGTGGCCACGGTGCTGGCCCTGCCTGAGGTTCTGGACCCAGCTGCCCCGGCCTCTGTACGCACTGAGCCTTGCTGCGCTGAGTGCTCACTCGGTGCCCTGGAGGCTACCCAGGTAGGAGGGGCCCCACGCCTCACAGGAAGTCCCGGCCACTGCACACCACTGTGGCCTTGTGCCACCTCAGCCTCCCCAGCGGCTGGCACCACAGGCGCATGCCGCTGTGCTCGGCTCTGTTCCCTGGCCTTCGATGCCTCTACTGACCCAGGAAGAACCCCGGTCCAGGGCACGGCAGTCCCGCTTGATGGCCTGGCCCCTGGGGAGACACCCACACGAGGTCCTCCCTGAGGTCCCGGCGGCCACAGCTCTCTCTCAGTCCCTTCGAAGTAGGAAAGAGTGGCCCAGAAGTGGCTCCAGGTCGCCCACCGAGGACTCCTTTGGCCTCGCCTCCAGCTCGGCTTCTCGGGGTTTGCTCTGCCCTTTGGGGACCCACCTAAGGCCCAGCACACCCACACGGCCGTCTACCCGCCTTGTGCTGTTTCTTCAGGCTCTAGGGGCAACCCCAGGACCTGCTGGGGGTCCTAAAGGCTGGGGGTCGGCAGCCCCAGGCCCCGGGAAGGGCACCCGCCTGCACAGGACCTTGGCACAGGATCCAGTTGCAGAGGGACGTGGGCCCCTCGTGTCCTTCACACAGCTCGTGTGGCTCTTGAGTGGGGAGCCAGGTGCAGGGGCCCCTCTCGGTGAGGAGCAGTTGGGCCCCAGGGTCCCCAAGTGGAGCCACCCAGCCCCTCGTCTGACTTCCTCCCTGCTCACCCTGCAGGCGGGCTCTGGAGAATTCCGGACACTGCGGAAGGGCTTCTCGCCCTACCACTCGGAGTCCCAGCTCTCGTCGCTGCTGCCCTACCCGGACTCCCTGCAGAACGTAAGTGTGCGCCTGACACGGACACAGTCCGGGGACCTGTCCAGGGCCCACAGCTCTTGCCTTCAGTCCCTGCTGGGTCCAGGTCTCCAGGGCAGGGTGAGGGGCTGGGCTCAGGGCCACCGGACCTCGTCCCGTCCCCACCCTGCTGCCCACCTGTGGGGCCACAGGCAAAGCCTTGCATGGGACAACAGTGGGGTGTGCAGGGCCGTGTCTGGGAACATCTGGCCATCCTCAGCCCTGGCCTGTGTCTCCTCTGGCTGGCCCTGGAGGTGGGGCTGGGCTTCATAACCGAGGGGCGCAGGAGCTCACGGCCAGGGCTCTGTCCTGGGATGGTCACCGAGACCTCGGTCCCCACCCCTGGAGAGAGGTGGCCCACTGGAGCCAGTGCCCTGGGAAGTGGCCACCCAGCTGGGGTTGCCGCCCAGGGGATGAAGTGGGTGTCCTTGGTGCCAGCAGGGCCCCGGTGCCCTGTACCTCATTTGCCTCTGCAGAGTGGCTCGTGCCATGCTTCTCCAGGAGCAAGCTGTTGACGCTGTGCAGGCAGCCGAGGCCACTGACGACACATAATCCAAATATTTACCCAGGAGCCTGCAGCCAAGCTGGCCTCTAATTGCCTGGTGTTGATGGGCCCTGGGAGCCGGTGATACCGCCCAGGCCCGCTCCTTGGTCCCCTTCTGTCTGCTCTTGGAGGGGAATGGGGAAGCCGGCAGTCCTCAGACACTGTCACCAAAGCCTCAGCCACTCGAACCTCAAAGTTTGGGGGCTCCTGTGGGAGCTGGTGGCGGTGGGCTGGTCCTTGGGGCGGGGTCCTACGAAAGGCCAGCCATGTGGGTCCACCTTGGGTGCAGGGACTGCCTGGAATGCCGACCCCAGCACGGGAGAGGTCTCCTTTTAAGCCACTGTGGTGTGGGGCGCAGCGGGTCTGACCGGGCGACTCTGGGGATGGGTACACCCCTTCCCTGCTCCTGGCTGTCTTCGGGAACCTGGGGTGGAGGTGACTTTTGTCAGCTGCCCTACAGGAGCGAAGCTGGTTCCACTTGACTTTATGTTTGAGCATATAATTAAATGGTTTTTAGTAAATCCAGAGTGGTACGATCATCACAAATAGTATGTTTTAATCTCTCCCCAAAAGAAAGTCTACACCCCTGCAGTCATTCCCAGTCCCCTGCCTCCCAGGGGTGCTTTCTGTCTGATTTTGCCCATTCTGACTTTTTTTTTTTGAGACAGGGGCTTGCTGTGTAGTTCAGGCTGGCCTCAAATGTGTGGCACTCCTCCTGCCGCAGCCTCCTGAGTGCTGGCATTACAGGTGTGCACCACTACACCTGGCCCCATTCTGGACCTTTTATACAGAGGGGATTGGATGGCCTGTGGCCTCTCATGTCTGGTTCCCAGGCCAGCCTGTATCAGCCCTCTTTAGGGCTGTATCCGGTCCCACTGTGTGAGCAGACCTGCCGTGTTGTCCGCTCTGCTGCTCTGGGGTGTTTGCATTCCGGGCTGTCATGAGGAGACTGTGGGGAACCCAGGACACGGATCTCCAGGACCTGTTTTCACTTCTTAGTGTGCACTGCTTCCCCCATGTCTGGCACCAGCTCTGGTGTCCTGCAGACCCAGCCCCTTGCTTACCAGCTGCTCGGCCTTGGCCAGCCACTCAGCGCTGCTCTATTGCGCTGAGTGCAGAGCCTACTGGGTTCCTCCAGTGTGGCCGACCCGAAGGCAGGAGCCTGACACTGACCCTGGCACACCCATCACGCCTGGTGCATCTCATGTGCAGTGGCTGGTGTCACTTGCAGGAAGTCAGGCTGAGCCCTCGCTGGCCCCAGGGCCATGGGCCAGGCAAGGCCAGACTACATAGCCTCCAGCGTCCTCCTGCCATTGCTCGAGCAAGCTCGGGGGTTGATGTGGAGTGCCGGGCCAGCAGGCACTGGGTCTTCCCCTAGGACAGGCTGGCAGTGCCCACAGGGCAAGGCGGGGTCTTGAGGCCAAGGTACCAGTTCAGTCGCGGGGCCTCTGTTTGTGTGCGCGTGTCTGGCACCCCCTGCTGGCCAATGGAGGGAGTGCGGCCTGGCCTGCGGCAGCCTAGGGGCAGATGCCTGCCCCCTGCCCATCCTTGTTCCATTTTTGAGCACAGCAGGCCTGGCCTGGGTACTGGAGATCGCTGGTCTGGGCTGGCACTGGGAGGCACCCCTGGGCCCGTCTTGAGGGCTCTTTGTGCCGCATGGACCACGGGGCCCTGTCTGGTATCCGGTGAGGGTGGGCGGGGCCACAGGAAACTGCCAACCTGGACCTTGAGGCTGGGCCCCAGGGGTGCCTGTGCTCCACGTCCCCTCAGCTGTGTGGGAGACCAGGGAGCGCTCCCGGCCGCCAGGCCTGCAGGAGGCTCCAGGTCCCACCCAGCAGTGTGGAAAGGCCTGGGCCGGCAGGATGCAGGGTGACAGCCCTGGTTCCCTGCTCACCGCCTGCTGAATCCCTGAGGGAGTCTCAGGATGTCTGGTGCTGAGGAGGACATTGAGCTGGTTTCCAGGCCGGCCAGTGGTGGCCCAGTCAGGGTGGCCTCTGAGTGGCCTAGACATGGCCAGGCAGAGGTAAGACGTGATTCCCTGCATAGGGCCCGGCCTGCCCCATCCCTGAGCTGCCCTCGCCACCCTCCAGCTACAGCTCAGCAGGACAGAAGCCTGAGGCGGTGGTGCACGCCATGAAGGTACATCCTGCCCCAGCCCCCTCTCTGCGCCGTCTCTGGGTGGCGGCATCTGCGAGCCCAGTGGGATTTCGTCTCTCTTGGTGCGCTCAGAATCGTGCCCCTCATCTGTCCTCCTGAGCCCCCACGGCTGGGGAAACTGAGGCCCAGGGTGGGTGAAGTCAGCTGCGCCCCTGAGGTTGGAGATTTGGGGCAGGTGTGGGCCTGGACCCGAGGCCCAGGTCTCTCGAGCCAGCTTCAGCCCCAGGGTGCAGGGCCAGGTCCAGTGGGCCCTGCCTGTCCCCTGTGGACTGGCAGTGACTGCCGGGTACCATGTGGATTATGTGGCTATCCTCAGAGCCCGGTGCCACTCATGGAGGGGGTCCAGCAGCCCCACCCAGCCTCTCTGCCTTTGTCCCTGTGACCCCTTTGTCCCTGGGAGCTGAGGTGCTGCTTCCTGTGTGCCTGCAGGGAGAGGAGACAACCCGTACTCCATACCCTGCTCCCCAGGGGCAGTGGGTGGCTCCGGGACCTGGCTCCGCTGTGCAGCAGGGAGACTGAGCCAGGAGTCGATGACTTGCTGGCCGGGGCCCTCACCCTGGGACTTGTTCCCCTCAGGTCCTGGAGGTGCATGAGAACCTGGACCGGCAGCTCCAGGACAGCTGTGAAGAGGACCTGAGTGAGAAGGAGAAGGCCATCGTCCGAGAGATGTGCAACGTGAGCTCGGGTGCCAGGCCTGGCGCGCTGTGCTGGGGGCTGCCAGTGTGTCACTGCCTTCCCCGGGTGGGACTCAGCCGGTGACTACACGGCTGGGGAGCTATTGGAGGCTCCTGGGCCCTGGCCTGTTGTCACCCGCTGTCTGCCCCTTGCCCCCAGGGGACCTCAAGCTCACCAGCTGCGCCTTCCTGGGGGTGCCACACCTGGGGCTCTGGGCAGAGGCCGGGCTCCCCACTCCGGCTCTGGCTGTGTCCTCCTGGGGTCTGGTCCTTCCACCTTGGTCCCTGGGTGCCCCCTGGTGGCTGCTGGCGTACATGGAGCTGGAGGCTCGGGCTGGCTCCTTTCTTGCTTCTGGGAGCTGTGCAGGCCCTGCGTCTGCCCAGCAGATCCTCATCTTTGATCCCTGATTGCCACTCGCAGGAGCCAGCAAGGAGGGGGGTTCCCAGGGGTGGAATCTGGGGCTCTTATGGGGTGCTGCCTCCTGGGCAGTGACCTGCTCCAGACCCGGCATGACCTCCAGTGGGCAAAGCACAGTCTGCATCTCCAGGCCTCCCACGGCCTGTTTTTCCCCCAGGCCTCCCGCGGCCTCAGTTTCCCCTCCTGGCCAGTGGCTCTGAGGACACGGGCGATTTTGCAGAGCACGGTGGCAGGGGGCTGGGGTGAGCCTCCCCACTCACATCCTGTCCCCCACAGGTGGTCTGGAGGAAGCTGGGGGACGCGGCCAGCTCCAAGCCCTCCATCCGGCAGCACCTGTCCGGGAACCAGTTCAAGGGGCCTTTGTAGGCTGCAGCTGCACACCCGGGACCGGCCCTGCCTGGCCCCTGCGTGCCGCCGTCTCTCCGCCGTGAACTGTACATAGGACCCGGCCTGCCCCGGCTGCGGTGGTGACACCATGGCCACCTCCCGCCTTACACACCAGCAAACTGGGAGGACGAGAAGCCACTGCTTGCTCCCCGCAGCCCAGTGGCCTGGATGGGCTCGTTCCCTCTGCCCCAGCCCCCCGAGCATAGGGACGCCAGGCCAGGTCTGCCCGATGTCTGTGCAGTGGAGGCACCTTGTCCCACCTCTCTCCCCTGGACGTCCCCGAGTGGACTGTGCCCACCAGCACCTAAATCGGACCCAGGCGGCACCGCTTCTGGCCCCTGCTATGGCCCGGGCCCTGTGTCGTGGACACAGAGTCGCTGTGTCATGCTGGCTGGACCTCGAGTCCTGGGGGCTCAGGGTCCCCTGCCAGCTGGCGGTCAGTGCCAGCCTCCCTGAGGCCGGCTGCTGCATGTCTGCAGTGTGCACCCGACATCCCCAACACACTGCACCCTCTCCCTGTGCTGGTCGGGGAGCGATGGGCCAGGGCTGGGCCCGTGGTCAGCTGTGGCCTCCCCAGGGCCAGCTGCACCCTGGGCCACAGGACAGAGCTGCAGGGCCCCCCATGGTGAGTTCTGTTTTCTGGGGAAGGAGCCTGAGCTGGTCCTGGTGTTGGTTTGCTGTATGACCTTCAGCATGTCACTCAGCCTCTCTGGTTACTGGTGGGTAAGTGGGGTCCCCGAGGTTCCTTTTGGCCCTGCTCATGGTTTGAAGCCACTCAGCTGTAGCTGGCCTCTGTCCTCTGTCCCAGCTCACAAGCCCCTTGGGTGGAGCTGCTGGAGAGGCCCGGGCTCGACGCGGTGAAGTGGGCAGTGTCAGGCCCTCCCTGCAGGGCCCTGGGCCCAGGCACGCCCCTCAGTGTCCCATCACTGAGGCTGTAAACCCGAGGGTGACAGGAAAATGCCCATGGGGGTAGGGAGAGCTGTGGCACATTGCAGTGAGAACCCCAGCCCTGGGGGACGCAGGCCAAGTGCACACCGCCCTGGCAGCCCCTGGCACCCACTCACCCCTGTGCAGGCCCCACACCATCACTGCCCTCCTCTCTCGACGGTACTCAGAGGCAGTCTTCGTGCCAGGCCCAGGCCCAGGCCCAGACAGGGACCGAGGGCGCGCAGACGGCTTCCCTGCTCCTCTCCCTGGCCGAGCTCTCGAGTGTCTGGCTGGCCTGCATCTTGTCCTTGGGTCTGGCACTCTCAGGGGAAAGGCTCTCGGCCTGGGGCCATTGGGGAGCTGCTGTCAGTCAGGTGTGAGCTCCCCGTCCGCCGCCCATGGTACTGGGCTGGCCACGCTGACAGCCCTTGGGGGCGGGAGTCCAGCCCTGGGAGCCCATGGGAGTCAGGTTTGGATCAGAATGGCTTGGCCACCACTGAAATAAGCAATAAATAAGGCTCCTGGGGACCTGCAGCCAGCTGGAAGACAGCCCGGAGGGACGTGGCCATCCTGAGGGGTCTGTGAGCTTTCCTGAGACCCCTCCCGCCTGCCAGAGGTGGCACCTGCTGTGTCCGAGCCAGCACAGCCTGGGGATGGCTGTCAGGATACCATGTCTGACAGTCCAGTCACAGCCACTGAGCCTGGGGCAGCTGGCAGGCGCCCAGCCACAGCCGGACCCGTGGGCCGCCTACTATGGGGATCCCAGGGCCTGCAACTCAGGGTGACACCTGGTGACCCCTTTTTTCTAGGAAAGCCCCTGGCAGGGCCAGGGTGGGAGTGGCTTTTCCCAGTGCGGACACTCAATTCCAGTCCATCCGAATGGACGGAGCCCCCTGACACTGGCTGCAGGTCCTCCTGTGATGGAAGGCGCCATGAAGCCCCAGCCCGGTGGCCTTGCCTGTCCTGGAGTCAGAATCTGCTGAGCACGTATCTTTAGGGTGGCACATTTTTATCCAAAAGTTATTAGCTACACACCAGTGTTTAAAGAGAAAAGTGACCTTTTTTTTTTCTTGAAACTTGACAGCAAACAAAATACATACTACTGATTTTTTTTAAGAAACAAACTAAAATGCATGACTGCAGAATGGTAGAGGTGTATATTTTTCATACTGTGGAGGGAAAGTATTCGTGCTGCTTTTTGGAAACGGACTGGAACGTCTGGTTCCTGTCCCGGCTGGCAGCGACGCGCTCATCTGCAGGCCGTGCAGTGAGACCTGCAGCGCCCGCCCGTCCCGCAGAGCCGGAGCCTGAGGACTCCCGCCCGTTCCCACCCTGTTGAACCACTTTGATCTGTGGAAAGTGAAATAGACTTTTTGATAGTGTGGTTAAAACACTGATTTGAACTATTTTAGTAAAGGAGTAACAGATAAGACTGTGAGCGTGTATACTTTGCTCTAGATAAATAAAGGCCTCCTGGCTGGTGCTCTGCGCTGATCTCTGGAGGGACCAGGGGTGGCAGTAGACAGGACCTGATGGTGTCGTGTCCCCGTCCCCCC